AGGAGCCAGCCCCCAACTCATGACGAAGTAGCTACCAGTCGCAGGGAATGTCATTTACAGGTGGGCCATATACACATCTACATGTATGCCCTCCCCCCTTCCCCATAACAACATCTATCAATACAACAACTACAAGGTAAGGTTGCGTATCCTTTACAGGACGTTGCAGAACCAACCCCAGCAGCCTGGCTTTTGTGTTGTTTCTCTAGGCAAATTACCGTATAGTAGTTTGCCATTGCCCGCTGGACGGTCGGCCCCCTGATACCACTGTCGTAACCAACGCAAGGCGCATGGCCCGCAGCTGGGATCGAACCTGGCACTCCGGCAATACGAAGCATTCGCACTTGGCCACAGAGCCGACACAACTAAAAGAAAAAGTACAAGAATAACTACTACTACTTCTGCTGCTGTTGCTGCTACTACTACTACTACAACTACAGCTACTCCTGCTGCTACTACTACTACTACTACAACTACAGCTGCTGCTGCTACTACTTCTACTACAACTACAGCTACTCCTGCTGTTGCTGTTGCTGCTGCTACTGCTGCTGCTGCTACTACTGCTACTACAACAAAGGTACTACAAAGTCGTGTCCTCACACTTCAACAAATATCTACAAAACAACACGAATTTGTGCACGTGGCCTTAGGTTTCCCAAAGCCTTGTGATTATATAATTTACAACTGCACAGGAGCTGTTGCTTTCTCAAAAGCGATGAACTTCATTGATCTTAGCCTGGCTAATAATTTGTGTACCCCGAAAAAATAGCTATACAGTAATTGACGCAGGCATAAAGACTGTTTGGAAATCAATTCACATGTGCAGCAATGTGTGGTGATTATTTTGATAACCTATCCCGCATACAATGAAAAATCCACAACTCCCGGAAGACTAATGTTAGTGATGATCACCTGAGAGTGAAACGCCTGTTATTTTTGTTTTTAAAAAAAAAGATAATTTTTTTTTTCATACACCACAAATAAAAAAAAATAAAAAATTAAAAATAATGCAAAATGATGACTAGATGTTTGTTTGCATCAACAACTATTCTTTCAAGAGATGATTATTGACAGACTGCATGCCAAATTTCAACAATTTATACTGAAGAGTTACAGGATTACAGATCTTTAAAGTTGGCCAAGACTTCTGGGACAGACTATAAGATTCATTTCTGTGTGTTTAGGCCACTCCTAAAACAAACACACACAAAAAATGTGTTTGAAGTCGCGGTGGTTATATTATATTTAGTCATCTCCATGTGAGATGCATTTTTCGTTATTTTGAAGCCCCACCCTGGCTCTTGCCGGGGGTCGCAATATAGCCTGGGCATAAATATGGCCTAATGGCTGAAAGCAGTTTCCGGAACCTCTCCACGGGTGATCTTCATCCGCATGGTGGTACTTTGTGTCATCGGGTGTTTATCGCTTGTGTGATGTACTAGTGGGGTAAAATGTACTACTGCTACTAGTCAGGGTGGCGTAGTGGCCAGGCGCTTGCATGCAGGCCTGAAAGTTGGAATCTGCATCGAGATCGACTTTGATTTCTTCAAAACTGACCTTGGCCCCAAAGGTCGGCCCAGTTTAACATTGGTATCAATCATGTCCTGGCAACTAAAGCCAGCCATCGTATAATACTGACATTATACAACAAGTATCTGTGGCCTAAAGAAAAAGAAGTCTAGAATCGGTATCACATATTTTCTTCCTCGTTGCTTCGCTGCTGACAGCATGCACACGCAGCTGGCATCGCAGCATTAGAGAAACGTGTAGCTACAGTTTATGCAAGAGTGGCATGTGTGTGCAGCGAATCTACTTTCCGCTATGTTAATAATTTTAACAAGCTTTAGGTCTTCAGCAAGACCCAAACTAAGTGGCATATTTGTAACAAATACTCGTAGTAAAGAGTAATTATAAAACGTTAAATAATTCATTTTCGGTAAATTTTACGCTCGTCCCTCCATTTACACACCACTACACACTAGCTCACTTCTGATTGAACGGCCTACTGACCACCTTACCCTGACAGGTCGGCCTCGAGCAATCCGACTTTCACTCAAGGTCATGGGGATGTTCCGCACTCGCGCTCAAACCCCGTGTTGTATATTTCACCATGACAGAGCTTTCAACACTTCTAAACCATTTAGATACTGGGTCTAACACACAACCCACCAAGAAAGTGACTAAACATATGTCACAGGCCGTCTCTTTCTCGGAAATAAAAACGTAAATGCCAGACAACAACAGGCTGCAACACCCATAACCTCGACCACGGTAGGCTAGTCCAACCAATTTAACAATGGAGTTGACCTACAACCGGTGATGTGTAAATGGGGAGACAATCGTATAAATAACCTATTTTTCTTTTGATCAATGATAAATGCGTGGCGATTTTAGCCGTTACATGCCTGCCTCGCCCCAGGATAATTGCCATACATACAGCAGGCCTCAAGGCCGCCCGCCAGTCGGGGTTAGTTCCACCTAATAATGATGATGATGATGATAAAAGTTTATTCATGCAACTCCAGAATCTTAGAACTGATGTCCAGGATTGTTTGTTTGTTTGTTTGCATGCATGCTTGCTTGCGTCTTTCTTTCTTTCTCCCTAGATCCCGCCCATTTACACTCTAGCTCACTTCTGATTAGTAGTTTTTGAGCCCCATGCCCTTCTCACGCGGTTACAAAGGTGTTCCACAATGCCGTTGATATTGACTGTTGTATATTTCAGCACGCAAGCTTTTAACACTCCAAAAACACGGAGAAACTAGGTCTACCAAAACCCGCCTAGAGAGTGCTACAACCTATATTACATGAATTCTCTTTCTCTGAATGAAAACATAAATGCAAGACATCGCTAAACAACAGAGCGGGACACGCCCGTAACCTTCAGGAAAGTCAACCAGCCCAACAAACTTGTGAATAAAAAAGCGACCTCCTCTATTTGGGGAGACTAACGTCAAACTTACCCGAATCGGGTCATCTCTTATTTCTTTTTTTTAAAACCGATATTATCACTTTGACTGTGTGTGTGTGAGTGTGTGTGTGTGTGCGTGTGTGCGTGCGTGTATTATAATCTGGTTTAGCTCGCCAGAGACTGCAATCTGAATGTTTGCCACCCACCGACTAAAAGAGCCACTAGCTGGACACCAGTCAAAAAGTGACAAATTCCAAATACATTTTTCAAGTAAATAAAACAGATATACTGGAGCATTCTACAATAACAAAGTAATAATAATGATGATGATGATAAAAGTTTATTCATGCAACTCCAGTATCTTAGGACTGATCTCCAGGTTTGTTTGTTTGTTTGTTTGTTTGCCTGCCGCCCTTCCTTCCTTCCTTCCTGCCTGCCGCCCTTCCTTCCTGCCCGCTTTCGTTCGTTCGTTCGTTCTTTCTTTCTTTCGTTCGTTCGTTCTTTCGTTCTTTCTTTCTTTCTTTCTTTCTTTCTTTCTGTCTTTCTGTATGTCTGTCTGTCTGTCTGTCTGTCTGTCTGTCTGTCTGTCTGTCTGTCTGTCTGTCTGTCTTCCTTCCTCCCTCTCCTTCTTTCTTTCTTTTTCCTTCTTGTGGTGCTTGCTGCTAAAAGCATAGGTGACAACATTCAATTGTTTCTACATGTTTGTTCCTGCTCACTGTTAGTGATACAGAGGGACTTTTTTGCGTAAAATTCGTTAAAAAGATCAATCTGTCTATTCTGGGATAACGGGGGGTGGGGTGGGGGGGGGGGGGGAGAGGGGGAGAGAAAGATGAAAAAGAAAAAAGCTGAAGGAAGACGAGGAGAAAAACAAGAAATGTAGGCAGGAAACAGACTGCACTGAGGGGGTGGGGGGGGGGGGAAGGAAAGGGGGGAGGAAAGGGGGGGGGGGGGGGTTATGGAAGAATGATTACATATGCGCATTATCTGGACACCAGAAGGTTCAATGTTGAATTAAGAATCCACATCACAGCACTCAAGACACTCCCATAAGCGTCCCATTCCTTTCTTCAGCAGCAAGCAAAGAGTTCCAACTCCAAAGGCATCATTAACTGTCTGATTGTGCCAGATGTGTGAAGTTAATCAGAAAAGAAGTCAAGAACCACTTTCACATTAGTGGCACACCAGGCATCAGGCACATAATGCTAGATTCATTTTTTTTAAACATACCAAACATCGATTAGTGATGTGGTCAACCACCCACCGGCTGCCTTTACTTCCCATGACTTTACCTGGTAGTATCCCTGTAGGCTGGGTCAACCTTGGAGTAAGGGTGTTTTCTGAAGAAAAAATATGGCTTGATGCAGAGTCAAACCCAAGAACTTTGGGTTGGATTGGAGCATCTACTGCTATGCTGCCATGGCGCCCCTTGCATGGTAATCATCATCATCATGTAGCAGGTCCTTTGCAGAACATCGCTCTCATCACGGTCTGCCCCAAGTATTTAGACAGCACACACACCCCCCCCCCCCCCCCCCCCCCCCCCCAATACAGCATATGATAATCCCAACCAGCAACAAGAAACCATGCTAGCAGTGCCCGATATGCTCAGACAACAAACCAGAAAAAAAACAACCACCACAAGATGGCTGAGAAAGGCTGCAGGAGTGACCAGAAGAGATACAGTCTAGAACAAGGACATAAGAGAAAAAGTCGGTGCATAACCATTTATAAATAAATAACATACAAACAAAGCACATCAAATGGTTTGGCCACTTAGTGAGAACGCATTGTGATGCCATACCATACAAGGCATATACACTAGAAGAGAGGAAGGATGTGTAGCACCAAGAACAAGATGGGAAGATTATATAACACACTCTATAACAGCAAGTTGTGTCGATGGTCGAGGTAGCCAAAAGAGCAAGAAGCGTAACCTTATATCTGCTTCGATACCCAAAGCAGTAAAAGGAGAGTGAAGAAGAAGATGGAGAAAAAAAAACAACAACAACAGAGAACACATACGCACACAAAAACACATACACATTAAGAGAGGTCATAAGCATATGTGCACAAAACAAAAACCACTTACCATATGAGATGCATCGAGATGTCCCACCATCATGGCTGCAGGATATGGCAAGCCACCCATGACCCCTGTGGGCTGGCCTCCGACAGCCATCATCGGAGGAGGCAGCCCAGGGTGAGCAGATAAGAGAGGCTGGCCTTCGGCATGGGTCCTCAAAACGTGGATAGCATCATCTAGGTCTAACCTCTCCTCCATACGACTCTGGATTTTGTGTGAAGAACAAGGTCAGATTTGGTCAAACACACACAAACAGCCTTTTATGCAAACTGAAGCATCTCATTGAATCATTTTATGTCAATGCAAGTCTGGAAAAGCCTTAAAAAACATTAACCCCTCCAGGATTTTAACCTAAAATATTGAAATCAGTGACAAATATCCCCGTGTGGGTTCCGGGGAAAACAAGAATAGACCCACCGCCTTCCCAACAAACATGTTGTAGGAGTTGACTAATTGGGGACTTTCTTCCAAGTGCATTTGCCTGAGCCATCAAGGAGCAACCAACTGCACGCAAATACACCAGTGAAGCGGTTATACATGCAAAACTCAGGCCTTGCCACCAAACTAAAGTCCAAATGGGTGATCAGCCAAAACTGTTGGCAGGAGCTTACAGCCGGTAAACAAAAAAGAAGAAAAAAAAAAAAGAAGTGACTAAAAGAGCTGCTATTCAGATGCAAGTTCAACTGCAGCAAATCACTACTTTGTTCAACTATATAAAGGACCCTTTAGGGCTTCAGGCATCCAGTGTTAGACAAATAGTATTGTAGACCACACAGTACTTGATGGTGATGTGGTCAACATAACGCCGGCAGCCTTTACTTCCCAGGACATTAGCTGGTACTGATTTAAACCTGGGTCAACTTGGGAGCCCCGGTGAGTCTAAGAGAAAATCTGCCTTGGTACAGACTTGAACCCTCGACCCTTAGGCTGATAGATTAGCAATTAGCTACTATGCTACCATGGCTTATGTTAGATAACATGGGGCCCAGTGACGTGTGTGTGTGTGTGTGTGCACGCGTGCGTGTGTATGTGTGTGTGTGTATGTGTCTGTGCGTGTGTGCGTGCGCGCGCGCATGTTGGGATGGGAGCGGGGACAACCAACAATTTGCAAACATATTAACTAGTTCTGTAAAACGGATGTGCACGCAAAACTCGAGTTCCGAGTCCAGAGTCCTGTAGTGGACAACAACCAGAACTGTCCGCCAGAGTTTACAGCTAGTGAATGCTAAGAAGACCCCATAAAAATAGTTTCATGAGGGCGCCCGAGGCAGGTCACAAAGTGAGTAAAGTAAAGGATCCGTTCCCACACCTTCAGGATATTGGGCATTTAGTGCCAGACCTCAATGTTCAGACCAGTTAGTCTGGTAGTCTGGTAGTCTTAGTTTCAGCTTCATAGCAAACGGGTTGCCCCATCTTTGCTCCGCTCCTGTGCCAGCGAAAAACACTCAGAATATTTATCACAGTCCCTTGTGGAAAGATTGACAGACTGCTGTCTCAGCATATCTAGCATACACTCGCATTAAAGCATATGGTAGCCATCCGAAGTGCTAACACAAACAGTCCAACATTAGAAATGCAGTTCATCATTGATGATAGCAGAACTTGTCGCCAACAGATCAGCAGTTTCCCACGCGATCAATTGTAATCACACACGGGCACCGCCAACATTGACGACCGGCATCGCGCCATTTTCTGAATCTACAATTCACACCACGTTGGTCACAGTCGAAAAAACATTCCAAATGCAATCCGCAGCTCACAGGGTCACGCCATGCATTCAACTCAGAAGCTGGGCGACGAAACTATATCCAGTCTACAAATGGAGCAAAAATACTTCAGCCACCGTCCGGCAGAAGCAAAAAATTTGCCTCCGCTCCGACACATAGGTGATGTGGGTCGTCAACATTGCACTTGCCACATTTACTTCCCAGGACTGTACCTGGCACCCATTTAAGGATAATTCAACCTAGGAACTGATGTCGTAGAGAAAAAAAAGTCTGGCTCCTTTCTGATTTGAGCTCGGGACCTTTAGATCGGCATATATTAGTACATTTGTTTCTGTGTGAGGCAGCGCCGTCACTTGAAGGTGACAGATTTGGTTCTCAACATGGCAACTATAGCTTTTTATTATTGTGGTATCCATTCTATTCTCTCTACTTCGTTCTATGAGTGCTGATCATTTCTTGTCAGTCTGTTTACTCCCTGTGGACAAGTACTCGTTAGGCATCTCAGATGAGATCTTATGCCATGGAGACAGAAACTCTGAGCGGTCCGGTTGTCTTAAAGTTGTGTGTGTGCACCCCTTCGTCTTATAGTCATTGGGAGCTTCCTTTGTCCTACTGCAGAGGGTGGGTTTCCTTGTCTCACTGTTGTGACTGCTCCACCCCTTGTCTTAAAGTTGTAAGTAGACCCCCCTTTCTCATTATTGTGAGCCCCCCCCCCCCCCCCCCCCCAATAAAAACAAATAAATTAGTGATAGTAAAGGGAAATAATCAATAAATTACAAACAAGCAAAGAGAAAACACTGGGTGTAAAACTTAACCAGGCAAAATATATGATTATCTTTACATACAAAGGGAAAAGATATTTAAAAAAAAAACCACAGACATTCACAAAGTATTTCAAAATTATGTGATCTCAGATATCCAGTGGTACCTTGGGTCACAGACACCTCCAGTCACAAACAAATCGGCCCACGAACACAATTTCTGAACAAATTCTGACTCCACACGTGAACAATTCCTTAGTGCACAAATGAACAAACATGGCTTGGTCGCCATGTTTTTGGCAAATGAACAGCTGTAATCAGGTTTGCACTCAGGGAACATGCACTGCGTTGTTCATAATACAATTTTGTTTTCTTTTTGCATTAACCCTCATTATGGCTCCAACAGAAGTGAATTGTGTAAGTGACAGCCATGTCAAGATTCCAAAGTGTATGTTAGATGAGGTTTTAGAGGAGGTAAGGCGTCCTATCTAGTGTCTAGGGTGTGTAACTTGCTCCAGTCACATACAAGAGACGACACAACTACTGTTGAGTTCCTACAGGAGAGGCCAATGACAATACGAGCACCACAATATGCCAGGCACATATAACACTGTAACAAGTTAACCACAATATATCTCAATACACAATATGCCAGGCACATATAACATTGTAACAAGTTAACCACAATATATCTCAATACACAATACGCCAGGCACATATAACATTGTAACAAGTTAACCACAATATATCTCAATACACAATATGCCAGGCACATATAACATTGTAACAAGTTAACCACAATATATCTCAATACCCAATATGCCAGGCACATATAACACTGTAACAAGTTAACCACAATATATCTTGCACAGGTTACATGTGCTATTGTTGAATGTTGAATAAGGAATCGACATCACAGCAAGTGCTCTGTCCCCATCTAGATACAGATGTTTAAAGGAACATCATCATCATCATCATCATCAGGTGCCTTGCCGACTGGCGTGGGCGATCATGCCTCTCCATAATTTGCGATCTCCTGCAGCATGTATCAGTTCGAATGCTGACACACCTCCATGCCATGCAACAAGACTGTCAAGCATCTTCTCTTGTTGTCTTCCTCTATCTCTCCTTCCACATATCTTTCAAGTTGTCATAACATGTTCTATTTTCCCTCTTCTCATAACGTGGCCGAAAAATGATGACTATCTCCTTCTGATGTCTGCGATAAGTTGTCTTCGGGCTCCCGCCTCTTTCAAAACCTCTTGGTTGCTATTTTTGGCTGTCCAAGGTATTCTAAGCATTCTTCTGTAAAACATACAGATGTGGAAGGAACCTTCACATAGGGAAGGAACCTTCACATAGGGAAGGAACATACAGATATGGAAGGAACATACAGATATGGAAGGAACATACAGATATGGAAGGAACATACAGATGTGAAAAGGAATATACAGCTGTGGAAGGAACATACAGAGCTGTGGAAGAAACAGACAGATGTGGAAGCAATAGACATATGTTGAAAGAATAAACAGATGTGGAAGGAACATACAGAGCTGTGGAAGCAACAGACAGATGTGGAAGCAATAGACATGTGTTGAAAGAATAAACAGATGTGGAAGGAACATACAGAGCTGTGGAAGAAAGACAGATGTGGAAGCAATAGACATGTGTTGAAAGAATAAACAGATGTGGAAGGAACATACAGAGCTGTGGAAGAAACAGACAGATGTGGAAGCAATAGACATGTGTTGAAAGAATAAACAGATGTGGAAGGAACATACAGAGCTGTGGAAGAAACAGACAGATGGTGAAAGAATAAACAGATGTGGAAGGAACACCATGATGTGGAAGGAACACACAATATGTAAAAAACATTCAAATGTGGAAGGAACATACTGATGTGGAAGGAGCATACAAATGTAGAAGAAGCATACAGATGTAGAAGGAACATACAGATGTAGAAGGAACATACAGATGTGGAAGGAACATACAGATGTGGAAGGAACATACAGATGTGGAAGGAGCATACAGATGTGGAAGGAGCATACAGATGTGGAAGGAGCATACAGATGTGGAAGGAGCATACAGATGTGGAAGGAGCATACAGATGTGGAAGGAGCATACAGATGTGGAAGGAGCATACAGATGTGGAAGGAACATACAGATGTGGAAGGAGCATACAGATGTAGAAGGAGCATACAGATGTGGAAGGAACATACAGATGTGGAAGGAGCATACAGATGTAGAAGGAGCATACAGATGTGGAAGGAGCATACAGATGTGGAAGGAGCATACAGATGTGGAAGGAGCATACAGATGTGGAAGGAGCATACAGATGTGGAAGGAGCATACAGATGTGGAAGGAGCATACAGATGTGGAAGGAACATACAGATGAAGGAGCATACAGATGTGGAAGGAGCATACAGATGTGGAAGGAGCATACAGATGTGGAAGGAACATACAGATGTGGAAGGAGCATACAGATGTGGAAGGAACATACAGATGTAGAAGGAGCATACAGATGTGGAAGGAGCATACAGATGTAGAAGGAACATACAGATGTGGAAGGAACATACAGATGTGGAAGGAGCATACAGATGTGGAAGGAACATACAGATGTGGAAGGAACATACAGATGTGGAAGGAACATACAGATGTGGAAGGAGCATACAGATGTGGAAGAAGCATACAGATGTGGAAGGAACATACAGATGTGGAAGGAGCATACAGATGTGGAAGGAGCATACAGATGTAGAAGGAACATACAGATGTGGAAGGAACATACAGATGTGGAAGGAACATACAGATGTGGAAGTAACATACAGATGTGGAAGGAACATAGAGATGTGGAAGGAACATACAGATGTGGAAGAAACATACAGATGTGGAAGGAACATAGAGATGTGGAAGGAACATACAGATGTGGAAGGAACATACAGATGTGGAAGGAACATACAGATGTGGAGGGAACATAGAGATGTGAAAGGAACATACAGATGTGGAAGAAGCACAGAGATGTGGAAGGAATAGAAAGATGTTCCTCTTAGGATTTTTCTCGCTTCCTCACTCCATTTGTTTCCCATTTCAATACCTGACCAGGGCATCATAATAAAGGAGAGTTCATATGAAACAACCTACCAAAGAGTGGAGGTGACTGTGAGCAACCGGGTCATAATGTGCTGATGTCCCAGTCTGGCTGGACGATCTGTTCCACTGATGACTGGGGACACCACCTACAACAGTGTGTTATTAAGAACTCAGTTATGAGAATTATTACATTCACAAATATTAAAAAGAATATTGAGACATTTAAACTTGAGCTACATAGCCAAATTATGTATTCAGTCTTCTTCAATTGCTACCTCTTTTCCTCCCTGTATGTTTCTTTTCCTCCCTGTAAGCTTCTTTTTTTTCCCTTGTATGTTTCTTTTCTTTCCTATATGTTTCTTTTCTTTCCTGAATGTTTCTTTTCTTTAATGTATGTTTCTGTTCTTTCCTGTATGATTCTGTTCTGTCCTGTATGTTTCTGTTCTGTCCTGTATGTTTCTGTTCTGTCCTGTATGTTTCTGTTCTGTCCTGTATGTTTCTGTTCTTTCCTGTATGCTTCTGTTCTGTCCTGTATGTTTCTGTTCTGTCCTGTATGTTTCTGTTCTTTCCTGTATGTTTCTGTTCATTCCTGTATGTTTCTGTTCTTTCCTGTATGTTTCTGTTCTTTCCTGTATGTTTCTGTTCTTTAATGTATGATTCTGTTCTTTCTTGTATGTTTCTGTTCTTTCCTGTATGTTTCTGTTCTTTCCTGTATGTTTCTGTTCTTTCCTGTATGATTCTGTTTTTTCCTGTATGATTCTGTTCTTTCCTGTATGTTTCTGTTCTTTCCTATATGTTTCTTTTCTTCCCTGTATGTTTCTTTTCTTTCCTGTGTGTTTCTGTTCTTTCCTGTATGTTTCTGTTCTTCCCTGTATGTTTCTTTTCTTTCCTGTATGTTTCTTTTCTTCCCTGTATGTTTCTGTTCTTCCCTGTATGTTTCTGTTCTTTCCTGTATGTTTCTTTTCTTCACTGTATGTTTTTGTTTTTTCCTGTATATTTCTGTTCTTTCCTGTATGTTTCTTTTCTTCACTGTATGTTTTTGTTTTTTTCCTGTATATTTCTGTTCTTTCCTGTATGTTTCTTTTCTTCCCTGTATGTTTCTTTTCTTTCCTGTATGTTTCTTTTCTTTCCTGTATGTTTCTTTTCTTTTCTGTATGTTTCTTTTCTTCCTGTATGTTTCTTTTCTTTCCTGTATGCTTTTTTCTTCCCAAAATGTTTCTTTTCTTTCCTGTATGTTTCTTTTCTTTCCTGTATGCTTTTTTCTTCCCTAAATGTTTCTTTTCTTCCCTGTATGTTTCTTTTCTTTCCTGTATGTTTCTGTTCTTCACTGTATGCTTCTGTTCTTTCCTGTATGTTTCTTTTCTTCCCTGTATGCTTTCTGTTCTTCCCTGTATGTTTCTGTTCTTTCCTGTATGTTTCTGTTCTTTCCTGTATGTTTCTTTTCTTCCTGTATGTTTCTTTTCTTCCCTGTATGTTTCTTTTCTTTCCTGTATGTTTCTTTTCATCCCTGTATGTTTCTTTTCTTTCCTTATGTTTCTTTTTCTCCCTGTATGTTTCTTTTCTATCCTCTATGTTTCTTTTCTTCCCTGTATTTTTCTTCTCTTTCCTGTATGCTTCTTCTCCTCCCTGTATGTATCTTTGCTTCCCTGTACATTTTTCTTCTTCCCTGTATGTTTCTTTCTTCTTCCCTGTATGTGTCTTTTTTTTTTTTTTATGTGTGCTTCTTTTCTTCCCTTCCCTGTACCGAACCCTGCAGTATTATCCTGAAGAGACTGGCAGATCTTATTACTTATCAGTACCATGGTATTTTTTCATCTTTTAACTTATTCTTAGTTGTCAATGTGTTTATTATCAGGCACAATTTTTAACATTTTTGACACAAAAGTTTAACCCACACAATGTGCAAACACTGAAGATTCTTATCAGTAACTCACCTGTTATTGGTGGCGGTGAAGAGACAGGAGTCGATGGATTTGAACCACCATAACTGCTACTAGTCTGTTCAGTAGAATATATCTACAGAAAACAAAAATAAGTCATTACAGCACAGGATATTAGATACAACAAATCATAAGATTTTATAACATAGGACTCTACATACAAGTCATTATTACAGAGGATTCTATCAACAACAAAACATTATTACAGAGGATTCTACCAACAACAAAACACAACACATTATTACAGAGGATTCTACAAACAACAAATCACATAACATTATTACAGAGGATTCTACCCAAAACAAATCACAATACATTATTACAGAGGATTCTACCCACAACAAATCACAATACATTATTACAGAGGATTCTACCCACAACAAATCACAATACATTATTACAGAGGATTCTACCCACAACAAATCACAATACATTATTACAGAGGATTCTACCCACAACAAATCACTCTAAGAACTAAGAAGAACTGATCTGATTAAAGATACCCGGAGGTTGTATCTATGGGATATACACTTGTACCGCCAACAATAACACAGATAGGCTCAGAGTACGGCATGCAGGGACACATCTTACAGTAGCTGTAGACAAGCACCACTGCCAGCTTGAAGCTCTTGATCAGGGTTTCTCAACATGGGGCCCATTAGGGGGGGGGGGGGGGGGGGGGAGGGAGGAAGGGGGGGGGGGGTTAATGATTTGTTAAAAGAGCAATTCACAAATGGGGATGTTCAGAGTTTAAGTTACATGGGGGAGGGGGGATTTGATTCTTAAGGGAGCAATTCATAAATGGGGATGTTCAGAGTTTTAAGTTACATGTGGGAAGGGGGGGGGGGGGGGGAAATTTGATTGTTAAGGGAGCAATTCATAAATGGGGATGTTCAGAGTTTTAAATTACATGTGGGAAGATGGGGGGGGGGGGGAGATTTGATTGTTAAGGGAGCAATTCATAAATGGGGATGTTCAGAGTTTTAAGTTACATGTGGGAAAAGGGGGGGGGGGGGGGCATAAGAATTTTATAAGGGCATAGGTGGGGCATGTCACAAAAAAGGTTGGAAAATACTGCCCTAGATAGAACTTACTGTCATAGGTAGCATATCACAATAGAACTGTATGTGTAGCATATTACAATAGAACTGTATGTGTAGTATATGAGATGACAACTATATGTGTAGCCTATTACAAGAGAACTGTAAGTGTAGCATATTACAAGAGAACTGTAAGTGTAGCATATTACAAGAGAACTGTATGTGTAACATATTACGAGAGAACTCTAAGTGTAGCATATTACAAAAGAACTGTAAATATAGCATATTACGAGAGAACTGTATGTGTAGCATATTATGAGAGAACTGTATGTGTAGCATATTATGAGAGAACTGGATGTATAACAGATTACAAGAAAACTGTATGTGTAGCATATTAAAAGAGAACTATATGTGTAGCATATTATAAGAGAACTGTAAGTGTAGCATATTATGAGAGAACTGTATGTGTAGCACATTATGAGAGAACTGTATTTGTAGCATATTATGAGAGAACTGTATGTGTAGCATATTATGAGAGAACTGTATGTGTAGCACATTAAAAGAGAACTGTAAGTGTACCATATTATCAGAGAACTGTAAGTGTAGCATATTATGAGAGAACTGTATGTGTAGCATATTATGAGAGAACTGTATGTGTAGGGAATTATGAGAGAATTTTATGTGTAGCATATTATCAGAGAATTTTATGTGTAGCATAATATGAGAGAACTGTATGTGTAGCATTTTACATCAGAAATGTATGTGTAGCATATTACATCAGAACTGTATGTGTAGCATTTTACATCAGAACTGTATGTGTAGCATATTATGAGAGGACTGTATGTGTAGCATATGATGAGAGGAACTGTATGTGTAGCATATTTACAAGAGAACTGTATGTGTAACATTTTATATCAGAACTGTATGTGTAGCATATTATCAGAGAATTTTATGTGTAGCATAATATGAGAGAACTGTATGTGTAGCATTTTACATCAGAACTGTATGTGTAGCATTTTACATCAGAAATGTATGTGTAGCATATTACATCAGAACTGTATGTGTAGTATTTTACATCAGAACTGTATGTGTAGCATATTATGAGAGGACTGTATGTGTAGCATATGATGAGAGGAACTGTATGTGTAGCATATTACAAGAGAACTGTATGTGTAACATTTTACATCAGAACTGTATGTGTAGCATATTATGAGAGAACTGTATGTGTAGCTTATTATGAGAGAACTGTATGTGTAGCATATTATGAGAGAAATGTATGTATAGCATATCAGGAGAGAACTGTATGTGTAACATATTATGAGAGAACTGTATGTGTAGCATATTATGAGAGAACTGTAAGTGTAGCTAATTATGAAAGAACTGTATGTGTAGCACATTACAAGAGAACAGTAAGTGTAGCATATTATGAGAGAACTGTATGTGTAGCTTATTATGAGAGAATTGTATGTGTAGCATATTATGAGAGAACTGTATGTGTAACATATTATGAGAGAATTGTATGTGTAGCATATTATGAGAAAAATGTATGTATAGCATATCAGGAGAGAACTGTATGTGTAACATATTATGAGAGAACTGTATGTGTAGCATATTATGAGAGAACTGTATGTCTAGCATATTACATCAGAACTGTATGTGTAGCATATTACAAGAGAACTGTATGTGTAGCATTTTACATCAGAACTGTATGTGTAGCATTTTACATCAGAACTGTATGTGTAGCATATTATGAGAGAACTGTATGTGTAGCATATTATGAGAGAACTGTATGTGTAGCATATTATGAGAGAACTGTAAGTGTAGCATATTATGAGAGAACTGTATGTGTAGCATATTATGAGATAACTGTATGTGTAGCATATTATGAGATAACTGTATGTGTAGCATATTATGAGAGAAATGTATGTATAGCATATCATGAGATAACTGTATGAGTAACATATTATGAGAGAACTGTATGTGTAACAGATCACAAGAGAACTGTATGTGTAGCATATTACAAGAGAACTGTATGTGTAGCATATTACGAGGGAACTGTAAGTGTAGCATATTATGAGAGAACTGTATGTGTAACATATTATGAGAGAACTGTATGTATAACAGATCACAAGAGAACTGTGTGTGTAGCATATTACAAGATAACTGTATGTGTAGCATATTATGAGAGAACTGTATGTGTAGCATATTATGAGAGAACTGTATGTATAGCATATTATGAGAAAATTTTATGTGTAGCATATTATGAGAGAACTGTATGTGTAGCATATTACATCAGAACTGTATGTGTAGCATATTACAAGAGAACTGTATGTGTAGCATTTTACATCAGAACTGTATGTGTAGCATTTTACATCAGAACTGTATGTGTAGCATATTACATCAGAACTGTATGTGTAGCATTTTATGTGAGAACTGTATGTGTAGCATATTATGTGAGAACTGTACGTGTAGCATATTATGTGAGAACTGTATGTGTAGCATATTATGAAAGAACTGTATGTGTAGCACATTACAAGAGAACTGTAAGTGTAGCATATTATCAGAGAACTGTAAGTGTAGCATATTATGAGAGAACTGTATGTGTAGCATATTATGAGAGAACTGTATGTGTAGCATATTATGAGAGAACTGTACGTGTAGCATATTATGTGAGAACTGTACGTGTAGCATATTATGTGAGAACTGTACGTGTAGCATATTATGTGAGAACTGTATGTGTAGCATATTATGAGAGAACTGTATGTGTAGCATATTATGTGAGAACTGTACGTGTAGCATATTATGAGAGAACTGTATGTGTAGCATATTATGAAAGAACTGTATGTGTAGCACATTACAAGAGAACTGTAAGTGTAGCATATTATCAGAGAACTGTAAGTGTAGCATATTATGAGAGAACTGTATGTGTAGCATATTATGAGAGAACTGTATGTGTAGCATATTATGAGATAACTGTATGTGTAGCATATTATGAGAGAAATGTATGTATAGCATATCATGAGAGAACTGTATGTGTAACATATTATGAGAGAACTGTATGTGTAGCATATTATGAGAGAACTGTATGTGTAGCATATTATGTGAGAACTGTATGTGTAGCATATTATGAAAGAACTGTATGTGTAGCATATTATGAGAGAACTGTAAGTGTAGCATATTATGAGAGAAATGTATGTGTAGCATATGAGAGAACTGTATGTGTAGCATATTATGAGATAACTGTATGTGTAGCATATTATGAGAGAAATGTATGTATAGCATATCATGAGAGAACTGTATGTGTAACATATTATGAGAGAACTGTATGTGTAGCATATTATGAGAGAACTGTATGTGTAGCATATTATGAGAGAATTGTATGTGTAGCATATTATGAGAGAATTTTATGTGTAGCATATAATGAGATAACTGTATGTGTAGCATATTACATCAGAACTGTATGTGTAGCATATTACATCAGAACTGTATGTGTAGCATATTATGAGAGAACTGTATGTGTAACATATTATGAGAGAACTGTATGTGTAGCATATTATGAGAGAACTGTATGTGTAGCATATTATGAGAGAATTGTATGTGTAGCATATTATGAGAGAATTTTATGTGTAGCATATAATGAGATAACTGTATGTGTAGCATATTACATCAGAACTGTATGTGTAGCATATTACATCAGAACTGTATGTGTAGCATATTATGAGAGAACTGTATGTGTAACATATTGCAAGAGAACTGTAAGTGTAGCATATTACAAGAGAACTGTATGTGTAGCAAATTACAAGAGAACTGTATGTGTAGCATATTACAAGACAACTGTATGTGTAGTATATTACAAGACAACTGTATGTGTAGCATTTTAAAAGAGAACTGTATGTGTAGTATATTATGAGAGAACTGTATGTGTAGCATATTATGAGAGAACTTTAGTGCATTACTTACAGAGGCTAGAGCTTTGCCCACAGCCATTCCTGAAGACGAAGACACCGGCGGCCGGGAGGGCATCAGATCTGAGCCGTTGATTGCCGGAGAGGGAGCACGGGTGTAACCAGAAGTGGACGAAGGCACACTGACTCCCCCTACAGGCTGACCACCACGGAATGAGGACATGGGAGGTAAGCCAGAGGAAGACAAAAGTTGTGGATCTTGGCTGGGTGATAATGAATGGTGATATGGCTGCAAAAAGAAGCATTTAGAAAGTAAAACAAAAATTATTTATGGCACCTCAAAACGAGAACACAAATTCATAAACTATGATGACATGCTGGGTTTTTTAACGTAAAAGTTATCAATAAAATATGAATAAATTGCTGTCTCCATAACAGAGGAGGACTTAGGTAATTAGGTCACCACAGTTTCAGCCTTACAGCAAACAGTTCTGCTGTGCCATTCGATGTCACACTGTTCTACTGTGCCATTAGATGTCACACTGTTCTACTGTGCCATTAGATGTCACACTGTTCTACTGTGCCATTAGATGTCACACTGTTCTACTGTGCCATTAGATGTCACACTGTTCTACTGTGCCGTTAGATGTCACACTGTTCTACTGTGCCGTTAGATGTCACACTTCTACTGTGCCATTAGATGTCACACTTCTACTGTGCCATTAGATGTCACACTTCTACTGTGCCATTAAATGTCACATAGGACTCGCAGTCTATTTCTCCATTCCATTCTGTCCTGTACAGTAACCCGATTTTTATGGATGCAATCCAGTCCAGCAGATTTGACTTCTCTAAACAGTGTTCTCTTGTAGATGCCCATTTCCTCAATCACCCTGTTTCCTATTTTAGTGCCTGTTTGGTGATTTTCTGTTTTGTCTGTTCTCAGAATGTGCACAATACGCGTTATTAGGGGCCAAAACAGGCATTCTGAGTGGGTTTTGTGGCACAGGAATGAATTTTGTGGCACAGGAAGGGAGCAATTCAGGGGTGGCTTGTCTGCTATAAAGTCGGAGCTGTCACTAACGTTTAACATCATAAAACTGCCTAATAAAACCATATAATGACTAATAAATACAGCATGTGGTTAATCACATTCTGGATAGAAGAGGGGGAAAAAAAACGTACAACTCATAAACTGTTAGAAAAGATAATTTCCTGTGTGGGCACTAGGGTAATATTTTGGTGGAAACAAAAACAGGCCTAAGTCCCTTGTATCAATCATCCTCATCATCATCCTTATCATCATCATCATCATCATCGTGTAGCAGGTCTTTATAGAACGCTCTCATCACAGTCTGCCTGAAACAAACTGGGTCTCTCGGCAGCTCTCCCGCCTCGTGTACTTTCATATTCCTGTGCCCATCTTTGTGCTGGTCGGCTCCTGCTCCACCTCCTCAGCACCAAGCCTTCTGCTATTATGTTTTCCAGTCTGCCATGGAGTATCAAGCACCGCATATTGTGAGAAGCTGACGAATTAGGAACTTGCTGAAATTAGATGTGTTTAACCAAATGGCACATACACCGCAGCTTAGCTGTAAACCGCAACACAATATGCCACTCTCCTCCCCCCCCCTCTCCCCAACCCATTAAAAAAAAAGATGCAGAAAAAGAAAACATAATAAGGTTCTAATTAAGCATTAACTTAAGTTATGTACATGGTGTGGTGCATCATGTGTGGATCCAAAGGTACTGGGTGCAAATCCAAACCATGGCAGACTTTTTTTTAAAAATGACTACGGCTCTATGGTTGACCCAGCCTTAAATGGGTACCAGGTAAAGTCCTGGGAAGTAAAGGTGGCCGGTGCGATGTTACCTAAGTGTGCTGACTGGTCAGTAAAACAAAGATCTAGACCTATATGCCCAAATAAAGAGAGTCCTTTACTCACTTACTTTACTTAATTTATGTATAGTGCTTATTTTCAGCAATCCACACGGATATAGTAGACAACCGGATAGCAGATTAACTGCATTATCTTTGTGCTCGCCTTGGCAACAGCTGCTGTAATGCTAGACTGTGATATCTGTGCCTTTCAGCCTAATTAATACAGGGCTATCCAACCAACTGTATGTACACAGTGGCCAAAATGTTAAAATATGCATTGTCAGCGGTCAGAGTTCCCAGCAGCCACCAGCATAGGTTAGTTGCGTATCCTTTACAAGACGTTGCAGAACCAACCTTAGCAGCCCCTGGCTGTTGTGTGGTTTCTCTTGGCAAATTTACTTCCAGTAGTTTGCCATTGCTTTCTGGACGGTCTGCCCCCTGATACCACTGTCGAAACCAACGCAAGGCACATGGCCCGCATCTGGGATCTAACCTGGCACCCCGGCATTACAAAGCATTCGCATCAACTGAGCCACACAGCCGACACCAGCATAGAAAGATCATTAATACCAAACAATGGGCAATGATCCGCTGGCCACTTGCAAGATATATCTGAGCCAGATTTGGCAGGCAGGCAGGCAGCTAAACAGCCCTGAGCGAACACATCCCATTTCAGCATCAACTTAATTATTCACCTATTAGGACATGCATGTTAACTCTTTCAGTCCCAAACAACGTGTGATGTGTCATTAGTACTTCAGTGAATCCCACACAAAATGTAATATGTTCTGGTCCTTCTCACAGTTGGTCACAGTATATTAAGAAATCTGGCTTCCCCAGTGTTTAGCATCTTTGAAAGTAATAACCTCGTGGCTTTTTTGCTGTAGCTTATTTATACATATGGAAATCTCTGGTAAAAACCTTCTGGTACTCAAGGAGTTAAGAAGAAGCATTAGGTATATCACCCCCCCCCCCCCCTCCTTTTTTGAAACAAGGTGCCATAACCCACACTGGGTGCAAATGGCTCCCAATATGCCAGATGGTAACCAACCCTGCTTTTAACACCTCTAGCAGAGATTCTAAAGAAATCTGGCCAGGCCAGATTTAAACACATTCTGGGTGCCTTCCTGGGTTGAGTGGTTGCAGGCCACCTTGTGATGGGAGCTTCATTGCCAATCAGGCAGCATCAAGCAGCAAATTACATTACAGGGGTTGAAGGCAGCCTGGCATACCAGAGGTTGAAGGGGAAGAGTTGGGGGGAGAACTAGAGACAGTGGCAGCGATTTGTGTATATCTGATGTGTGTACCAGCCTGTCATTATACATGAAATTGTGGGGGGGGGGGGGGTGTATATACACCCAGTGTGTTCATTATCTGAGAAATTGCGTTTGTGAATGTGTATGTATTGCTGCATTCATTATATATTAAATTGTGTGGGGGCAATGTTTTCATCATCTGAAAAACTGTGTGTGTGAATGTGTTGGGGTTGCAAGTATTTGTATTAGTGTGCTCATTGTATGTTCAACTGTGTGGGTGGGTGTATATGTGCACACTCACCCAATGTGTTCATCATCTGAGAAACTGTGTGTGTGTGTGTGTGTGTGTGTGTGTGTGTGTGTGTGCATGCATATATGTGTGTGCAAGAGACAGAGAGAGAGACAGGACCAGGGATGTGGGCACGTACTAGTACATATATTATATGAGAGACTATGTGTGTATTATCATCAACATTATTTTCCTGTTGTGTCATTATATGTCACACACACAGCTCCTAGTGTATTCTGCCATTCGGTTCGATCCTATGCAATCACTTCCATGTCGTGGATTGAACGAGGATTCTCTGCTCATTTTTTCTCAGAATGTGTCCAATACAGATTGGTCTTCTTTGTTATATTGGCTATCGTCCGAATAACGGTCCTAAATTACTGAGGCTGAAAATATTTCCTAACAGGGCCTTAGTCACGTGTCAATTGCGCACTTCCGTGGTCTTAATTGCGCACTTTCGGCGACTTCCGCCATTTCCAAGAGTATCCCCCCCCCCCCCCCACGCGCCGCCGATTGGGGCTAAACTAGATGGCTGGGACATACGAGCAGCAGCTACCGCATCTCCTGCAGCTTCCTTCATTTTATTTGTTCGTGAGTCCCAGATCGACCCAGCCTTGAGTGGGTACTAGGTACAGTCATGGGAAGTAAAGGCAGTCGGCGTGAAGCTGACCACATCACCCTATAGGTCTAGCCCCATATACCCAATACGCCCAACAGGCGTAGAAAAGGGTCCTTTACTTTTATCCTGTTTATAAATGTATTTCAATTTCATTCCATCTGTAGTCCTTCTCACACTTTCAATGGCAAATTTTAAGACTAAAATAACACTCTTCTTCTGCCTTTCTATCCCCCAATGGAGCATAGGCCCTCAACCAACTCACGCCAAGTCGTTCTATCCTTCGCCATTACATGGAGCTCTCCCCATCTTTCTAACTTCATTCTCCAGCTCTCTTCTCCATGTGTTTTTTGGTCTTCCTTTATTCCTTTGCCCCTGTAGGTTCCAATGCAAAGACATTCTAGTTAGGCTGTTCTCCTGTTTTCTCAGTGTGTGTCCTCTCCAACGCCAGCGTCTTTTCCTCACCTCTTGGTCCACTGGAGCCTGTTTAGTTCTCTCCCAAAGCTCTACATTAGTTATTCTATCATACCATTTAATTCCCTCTATTCTGCGCTGGCACCAGTTAATGAATGTCTGTAATTTATAAAATAACATTAGAATTGAAAGTATGATACTTGGTTCTGAAATTATATAATTCAGAGATACATATTTTTCTCAGGATTTTAAAAATTGCTGATACCATGCCAATGCATGTCATTAATTTCTTTTTTTGCATTTCCTTGACTTTAAGATTAATTTCTAAATAACTAAACAGATCTATTACTTTAATTCTTGTTGTCTCTAGTGTTACATCTGCTTGATCAGTTACTGGCATCTTCAACAGATTTGTCTTTTGTGTGTAGTCCAACCCTTGATGCTGTATTTGCTGAGTCATGAGTTTTCCGTTGCATGTCCTTGTAGGTTTTAGTTAGCACAACAATATTATTCTGTCATCACCCAATCAATATTGGTTGTTCAACACAACACTCTGTCATCAACCAGTCAATGCTAGTTGTTCAACACAACACTCTGTCATCAACCAGTCAATGCTAGTTGTTCAACACAACACTCTGTCATCAACCAGTCAATGCTAGTTGTTCAACACAACACTCTGTCATCAACCAGTCAATGCTAGTTGTTCAACACAACACTCTGTCATCAACCAGTCAATGCTAGTTGTTCAACACAACACTCTGTCATCAACCAGTCAATGCTAGTTGTTCAACACAACACTCT